TAATGTCTACACAGAATATGATAACCCTTTTCCTACAATAATATCAATTCAATTATGTTATCAATTAATTCAATGCTTTGCTAACTATTGTGCAAATAATAATAGCCTTAATCCTCGCTTTTTCGCTCAAACTTAACATTTAATTATTTCATAATCTATTGATTTTTATTTTGTAAAAACAGAACCAAAAAGATATACATTTAATAAATATATACATTAATCGCAAACATATAGTAAACGATAAGATATTGCATTCAATTAAAATAACCACTGATCAGAATAATCAATAACGATTGGTACATCTAAAATAAATGTGAACTAGATATTAATTATGGACAATATGCATATGAGTTNACAGTGGAAATTAAAGTCAAATTGAGTTACAATTTGTTAAAAACAATAAATATTATGCGCTTTTAATTGCGGCCAACAATACATATGAAATCGCTTTGAATGACAATTCATAGCACTGTTTACCCAAACGTCAAACTCTATGCGATTGTTGTATTGGTTGCAGTGTTTGGTAGCCTTTCATTGCCGCCCACTTCGCAGCGCACGGCATAAGGCATGCCCTCAACCGCTCCCCCCATACCATGGCTTAAGGCATACACTACTGGACCCCCCGTTAGGTGTGAGCCCTCGACACCAGCTGTTGTCAAACTCCATGAGAGAGACAAACAATTGTAACACTAAATACTGTTAACTCATTATATCTTATGATTGAGTCGATTGTAATACTGTTGTAATGATTCATACATTCAATGATTATAACGCCAATAGTTATAACATCTCTGCCTTCGGTTGCGTTCAATACGATTACAATTAACACATTTTCAACACAATAACAACACTTTCGATACGTATTGCAGTGTTTCGTCTCTAAACACGTCTCAATCGTCCACACAATCAGTGTTTTAATTGTTTGTTTTTGTATTGATTTTGTTGTGGTATTAATCCATACATTCATTGATCCACACATTCAACCATTTGTACGCCAAATGCGTTGAAACAAGTGTTTTATGAATGCGTTTACAAATTAGTATTGAATTTATTGTTTGGTTTTAAATCACTTTTTTGTGTGTATTTATCGGCCATTTAGTCGTCAATAAGTTTCAGTTATTTTAGTCATTAATAAAATACAATGCATTTTGTGATGAAATCATTGGTTTTGTTGTATTTATTGATCAATTTGTTTGGTCTGCGGTTAACGTCAGCCACCGATAGTCCGGCCGTCGATCTCTGCGGCGTCTCTAATGGCATGGATTTCTCCGCTTTCAAGACGTAAACCATTTTTGATATTTTAATAAATAAATGATAATTCATTTGTAATAATGATATGATTTGTTGTTTGGCATTGAATTTACAGATTGTCTTACAATTGGACGCTTACTAACAGCAAAAACGAGTCAATCGATTATTACATAAACCTCTGCAGTCTATTGAACACAACCAGTGATAACACAATTCCTGTCAATTGCAGTAATAGCCATATTTGTAAATACTTCCGAAACGGTGACAAATCGGCTGTCGGTATGTTTTTTTAGTGTCCCATTGCCTTAAATATGGCAATGTTTTGACATTGAGAACTTAACAATAGCAAATTATGATTTGTAATATAAACCACACTTAACTTATCCTAAACCCAATTGAGCGCAGCTAGACTTCGGACACCTATTGCTGTGAGTGTTTGTTCAAACCCGAGTCAAACTGCGACCGGTGTGTGAAGAGATGAAAGAGAGTCATCTCAATAAAACCATTAAGATTCACTTTATTTGCGGCACTCAATTGGTTTGTATTAATGTTATACAATCTATGCAATTATTTAGCGATAATTTATAAATTTTTCTTTCAAAATGTTACTCATTATTAGGGAACTCCGGAATACTTTATGGATACGAAGTGTAGCACTAACTTGAAGTGGAAAACACCGGCCGTTTGTGCCACACCTGCGCCCACTCCTCCTCCTATCAAAAAAGTTCACTGCGTTTGGGACAACGGCTCTCATATCTTAGATCTGACACAATTGGCGATGACTACAGGGAATCACTTCGCTGTCGACATTCCCACCACTACTCCTTCGAGTGCTGCACACGATTTCTCCATTTACTACATCAATATCTGTCGTCCCCTAAACCCTATCCACGAACAGCATATGAGTCTTACGGAGTGCGGAGTGAACTCCGCCGCCTGTAAAGTGACCATAAGTGGTGACCACAAACACCTCAATTTGGGTGAACCCATTCACCCGCCGATTAAGGCGTTTGACGGAAGCATTAGCTTATTCTACGAGAACGGAAGCGTATGTCCGGCCGATGCGAGTAAACGGATATCGACGAGAATTAAGTTTGAATGCGACCCGAAGGCGGATCAGGTAAACCCCACGGTCTACGAACCGGGCAGTGAGGAAATCGATGCCGAGAAATGTGTCTATTTGTTTGAAATACGAACGGCAGCCGTTTGTGATGTCATTCAACCCACAAAACTGGACAACAATTCGTGTCGATATACCGATCGTATAACTGGTCTTAGCGTTGACTTAAGTTCTTTAAAAAAGCCGTCAAAAGAGCCCTATAGTGTTACCTCAGAAGATGGTAACACATATGAGCTGAATGTTTGCGGTTTAGTTAACTCTATTGGAGATCCCGAATGCTATAAGTCGGCCGTCTGTATGGTATCCAACAAAACCCAATCGAGTGCTGACAAATCGGCCGTCAGTTACGGTTTACTCACTTCGAGTGCTTTCTATTTTGACGGAACAAATCTAAAACTCAAACACTTTAATGGATCGAAATGTTTAGGCGTCCATTCGGACACAGGGATGATGTCGTCGGAGATTCAATTCAAATGTAATCCAAACGCTAAAAATATGAAACCAAAATTTTTGAGTGAAATCTCCAACTCATGCGTCGCTGTATTTGAATGGGAGACCCATTTAGTCTGTAGTCTACAGCTCCCGAAGTGTTCAATTGTAGGCAACGATAAGTTTTACAATTTGCGTCAATTGTCGTCTATATCTCACGGCTGGAACACAACTGATCCAAACGATCCGAAAACCTCCTATTTTGTCAATGTGTGCACAAAACTGCCCACAAGTATTGGATGCGATGACCCGAACGCAGCCGTTTGTAAGTGCAGACAAGACTCGCAGAAGCAGTGGAATTGTTCCCAGAGTTTGGGCGACCCCTCAGCCGATGAGTTGGAACTGACGGAAAGTGGAGAACTTCAGCTCACATATAGGAACGGAGACTCAAATGACTGCAAGGAAGACATGAAAGCGAGAACACAGATCCTATTCAAATGCAGTCACAGCACTGGAAGTCCTAAATTCGTTGAATTCATTCAACCCAAATGTATCTATAAGTTTGAATGGTTGACATTCATGGCATGTCCTGTGAATGAGCTCAACGATGAGCTCTCAGCTCACAATGGGTTTCTTTTGGACGAACGGATCAATTCCTATATCAATATACATCCACTACTAAACAAAACCTATAACGTTAAGGAATATCGAGTGTTGCCAAACAATGAGACCGATAATTACACTTATGTGATGAATCTGAACACATTCGCCCTCCCGGACAGCAACAAGTGCTCCGAAGCGGCCATCTGTCAGACAAAAGGCACTTTTAATCGAGACATCGGAAGTCTCGCATCCATTAAATACTATTTGAGAGGACATGAACTTCAGATAGTGTTGAAGTCGTCGAATTCAAAGTGTGGCAAAAATCCAAACAAAAACGTGACCACAATTTTCAGACTTCACTGTTCGTCGTCCGCAGGCGTCGGCGAACCGACGTTTATGTATGAGAGCAACGATTGCGACTATACTTTCAATTGGGAGACTGAGTTGATATGTGCCGACCATTTCCTCAACTGAAGGCTATACTGTTAGCACCTTTAGCAATTGTGATTACTGTTATGACCGTCATTACGGAGGCTTCACTTAGTGCTTTGCTCACCGTTTAGATTGCGATCATTACAAACCTAGCCTTAGGATTAGTACATATTTTTTGTTATCACTTTAACGGGTCTCGTGTACTATAGACAGAGAGTCAGGTATTGTCGCTGACATATGTTTTATGATAATTGTATTAAACATGATTCTGTTTGCTTCCAAAGGCAAGTGTTTATGTTTAAATTTGGCCGTCTGTTTAGACCGGAGACTACAAATCACACATTCCATTACCATCAGGTATGACATGAATGTCTTATTCATTACTTCTATCGTTTTATGTTGTCTTTTATCTGTTTTCAGTTCCAAACCTAAAGTATCACTTATGTTAGGCTAAAGCTAAAGCCAAAGAGTTGTTGCAATGTATTTCCAATGCATGTAATCTCATTCCTTTTCTCGTAGTTTTGATTGTCATTTCAATTGTTTTGTTCACTGATTATGTATTTGTCGTGCATTTAATGATTTATGTTCTCATTTAACACTTAAACTACGAATCGCTTGTCAATCAATGTATAGATATCTTTATACTTCCGATATGACAATCGTGGAAATCGTTAACACTAATGACAATACTGGCAGTAATGCCTCCGAAGTGAATCACGAAACGAGTGGCAAATCTAACGCTAGTAATGTTTGGATCGGAATCCTAATCATAATATTTTTTGTTATTACTTTAACGGGTCTCGTGTACTATAGACAGAGAGTCAGGTATTGTCGCTGACATATATTTTATGATAATTGTATTAAACATGATTCTGTTTGCTTCCAAAGGCAAGTGTTTATGTTTAAATTTGGCCGTCTGTTTAGACCGGAGACCACAAATCACACATTCCATTACCATCAGGTATGACATGAATGTCTTATTCATTACTTCTATCGTTTTATGTTGTCTTTTATCTGTTTTCAGTTCCAAACCTAAAGTATCACTTAAGTTAGGCTAAAGCTAAAGCCAAAGAGTTGTTGCAATGTATTTCCAATGCATGTAATCTCATTCCTTTTCGCAATCAAAACTAACAGTAAAGTTAACAAAACAAGTGACTAATACATAAACAGCACGTAAATTACTAAATACAAGAGTAAATTGTGAATTTGATGCTTAGCGAACAGTTAGTTACATATCTATAGAAATAAAATGGAAAACATATCCTAACCCGCAGTTGGCATCACTTGATAAGAACAGACAGACAACAGAAGTGGTCTTCATTGACAACAATGACAGCAACGCTCAGAATCGGAACACAATTGCAGCGCAACCATCAGCTCATGTGCCTTATTATACCATTTACGACGACTCAGACGTTGATCTTCTCACCTGACCTGACCTCACATCACCTTTCAATTGGTTTTTTATAACGAAATCTGCTTTTTAATTGCTTTTAAAAATTGATTACTTTTTTCTGTCAATAATTCATAATTAATGTTAACTTAATATAAGCTTTTGTTTGATTAACCCATTGATTATAGACCTGTGATAATAGTTGTAAGACATGTTTATACTGATTGTCACTAAAATGTACGCTATATTTATAAAATACAAGACACGGCTTAAACTCAGGAGAGATTTTCAAACACAAAGAGTGGTTTGATCTGCAATTGGATTTTGATTGGGTTTTGATCGATACTCTAGTCCGACGACAACAACACACCATTCCTTTCTAATCTGTTCTTCTCATTGCAGCTCAAACTCAAACACCAAATAAATTATTAAATAATTAATTATATATATATTGATATAAAGTTATTGTAAATATATTTATGTAAAATGTTTTTACGTTAACTTTTGTTTTAAGTTTGAAGAAACTCCAGAATAATTGATTCCCACTATTTGTTGTACACTTATATACTGTAATTTTAAATCAAAATAATGTAGGGCATTTCATAGAGTTATCAGCTAACACAATACTAACAACGGTTATTTCGCTACTAATGAAATTAAATATAATTTACAAACAAATTTTCACATTAAATTACACAATTTAGTAAACGTTAAGTTAAAATATAAAAGTTTCTGGAATTGACGTAATGTCTGGACTGAACCCAAGATTGCATTTCTAAACTCACATTTAAAACACGTGTTTGTATTAAATGCTCGCCAAAGCATTGAATAAGCGCTTGAATCAGCCGTTCATACCATACGTGCAGCGATTGTGAGCGAAGGGCAGAGGCGGGAGTGAAAGCGATTCACACAACAGACACAGCGTTTTGATTACAACTCGTAATGCATTTGAATTGCCTTTCATTTCGCAGTCTTTTCATCGTTTAGTTGTCTTTGAGTTTTGCTCGCAATATATTAGCCGACAATGTCTTCACAGGCGGACCTAATTAGACAACAACTTCAGGCCATTGACGACAAGAGGATCGCTCTCATGAAGGATGAGATCAAACTGAGAGAGCAGTTGCAGACATTGGAGGCCAACTCAAGGAAACGCAAACCAAACTCTGTGTCTGAGGCGCCGCCACCGAAGAAGCCGATGGTTGCGACCAAAGCGGCCGCCAAACAGGACTCGAGCTCTTCGGATGACTCGTCCGATTCGGATGAAGAGCCGGGGAAGAAGGCCGCACCCAAACCGGCGGCTAATGTGGTCTCCAAAGTGACCGCAAACGCCGCACCGAAAGTGGCGCCGAAGACTGCGCCCAAAAAGGATGACTCGTCTTCTGATGACTCGTCCGATTCGGAGGAAGAGTCAAAGCCGAAGACTGCGGCAAAACCGGCCGCAAAGCCGACTCCAAATGCCGTTCAAAAGCCGGCGGCAAAACCCGCGGCAAAGAAGGAGTCGAGTTCTGACGACTCGTCAGATTCTGATGACGAGCCGCCGAAGAAGATCCAGATTTTTACGCCATCGAAACCTTCACCACAGAAAGCGACTCCAAAACCCGCACCAAAAGTCGCCGAGACATTAAAATTTAGTTTTATTACATCCCGTAAAGTATCTCAATAGTCGATTGTGTTATGATTGTTGCCAATAAAGCGATGATTACTTTAATTTATATTAAATGTTTGTTTAAAAGTGTAATTTAATTACAATTTACAGTAAACGTTAAGTTAAAATATAAAAGTTTCTGAAATTGACGTAATGTATGGATTGAACCCAAGATTGCATTTCTAAACTCACATTTAAAACACGTGTTTGTATTAAATGCTCGCCAAAGCATTGAATAAGCGCTTGAATCAGCCGTTCATACCATACGCGCAGCGATTGTGAGCGAAGGGCAGAGGCGGGAGTGAAAGCGATTCACAGAACAGACACAACGTTTTGATTACAACTCGTAATGCATTTGAATTGCCTTTCATTTCGCAGTCTTTTCATCGTTTAGTTGTCTCTGAGTTTGACTCGCAATACATTAGCCGACAATGTCTTCACAGGCGGACCTAATTAGACAACAACTTCAGGCCATTGATGACAAGAGAATCGCTCTCATGAAGGATGAGATCAAACTGAGAGAGCAGTTGCAGACATTGGTGTCGGCGGACACCAACTCAAGGAAACGCAAACCAAACTCTGTGTCTGAAGCGCCGCCACCGAAGAAGCCGATGGTTGCGACCAAAGCGGCCGCCAAACAGGACTCGAGCTCTTCGGACGACTCGTCCGATTCGGATGAAGAGCCGGCGAAGAAGGCCGCACCCAAACCGGCCGCTAATGTGGTCTCCAAAGTGACCGCAAACGCCGCACCGAAAGTGGCGCCGAAGACTGCGCCCAAAAAGGATGATTCGTCTTCTGATGATTCGTCCGATTCGGAGGAAGAGTCAAAGCCGAAGACTGCGGCAAAACCGGCCGCAAAGCCGACTCCAAATGCCGTTCAAAAGCCGGCGGCAAAACCCGCGGCTAAGAAGGAGTCGAGTTCTGACGACTCGTCAGATTCTGATGACGAGCCGCCGAAGAAGATCCAGATTTTTACGCCATCGAAACCTTCACCACAGAAAGCGACTCCAAAACCCGCACCAAAAGTCGCCGCTAAGAAAGACTCGTCTTCTTCTGACGATTCTTCTGATTCTGACGACGAGACCACTAATAAGAAACCGATTGCCCCTCAAGTGAAGGCCACTCCTAAGCCCACACCTAAAGCGACGCCCAAACCTGTGGCCAAAAAAGCTGAGTCCTCTTCTGATGACTCGTCTGATTCCGAAGAGGAGACTAAACCGAAAAGTGCGGCAAAACCTGTGGTAAAGTCGACACCAAATGCTGTTCAGAAACCGGCTGTAAAAACACCGGCAAAACAGGACTCGAGTTCTTCTGACGACTCATCGGATTCTGATGACGAGAAGAAGCCGACGGCTGCGGCCAAAGTTGCTCCAAAAGCCACGCCTAACGCAACTCCAAAAGCGACGCCGAAGATTGCGGCCAAAAAGGACTCGAGTTCTTCAGACGACTCGTCCGATTCGGATGAAGAGGCAAAACCGGCGCCGAAAATCACTCCAAACGCGACCCCAAAACCCATTCCAAAGGCAGCGGCGAAACAAGAGTCCAGTTCTGACGACTCGTCTGATTCAGACGATGAGCCCCCGAAGAAGGCAACGCCAGCGCCGCCCGCGAAGACTACTGCGAAGATCACTCCCAAAGTGACTAAAAAACAAGAGTCCAGTTCTGAAGACTCGGAATCCGATTCAGACGATGAAAAGCAAGCGAAAGGAAAGGCAGCGCCAACTAAGCCGACGCCCGCCAAGTCTACTGCGAAGCCAATTGTTAAACCGGTGGCCACTAAGGAGTCATCCGATGACTCGTCATCAGAAGAAGAGCCCAAACAACTGACTAATGGAAAAGCGAATGCGAACTCTAAAGAAGAATCCGATTCGGACTCGGATTCAGAAGAACCGAAAATACCTCAAACCAGAAGTGCGGTCGCGAGACAGTCGCCCGTAAAGACTATAAAAGCACCCAAACGGAAGACATCGCCCTTTAGAAGAATAAAAGCCGATAACTCGACAAATATAGGAAATCCAGAATTAATGGACAATTCGTTTGAGTCGAAGAATGGTTACGACCAATGGGGCAAAAAGGCGGCGCAGAGTTTGGGTGCCGTTAAGGGCAAAGACTTCCGACGCGAGAAGACAAAGAAGAAGAGAGGAAGTTATGCCGGAGGTGTTATCAATACATCTGTCAATTCTGTTAAATTTAATTAAGTCTTTAGTCTTTCTTTTAGGGTTTTTATCATTCATTTGCAAATTTAAGTTAAATTTTGATTTATATTTAACTATAATTATAATTATTATTCAATTATTTCATTTGTAATCCAATTTTGAAATCAGAGTATTTTCACATATTTTTCATGTTTTAATTATTGAAACCTAATGTGAATTGAAATATAATATCCGTTTAATTATTGTCAAAATGAATAAAAATAAGTGTATTTTTCCATTTCTATACAATTTATAGCAATTTATTTACAAAAGTGTTTACAAATGAATTTATCAACTTATTTGTCGGTATAGTCTTCGAGTATGTCCTGCATGTGATCATTGAGTTTCTTGAAGTTGGCCTTACGTTTGTTGGCTTTCTTGCGCTTCTGGACGTGTGTCGTCTTCTTGAGTCCCATGTCTTGCATGGAAGTGATGCCCTGATTCTGGAGGTACTCTTCGATCTTCATCTCATCGATACCCTCGACGGCGACACTTCTCCACAGTTTCTGAAACTCTTCGTCCACTTTCATGTCCTGAGAGCTGTCGTTATAGAAGAGAATCTTCTTCTTATCCATTGGTCGCGTAATGACAGTAATCTTGTTATTGTCGACCAGATTCTTGATGTGTCGGTCGGCGCCGGGAAGTGACTCCTGAACGTCTTCGAGGGTCACACCTCCGAGACCTCTTTGGTCGTGTCTGTCCAGTAGTCTCAGCAGTGATTTCTTGTCTTTCAGAGGGTATAGCGGTTTGAATGCGTACTTCTGGTCATCAGTGATGATAATCTTGGGATTGTTTGGAAGCGCTTCGACGAGAAGCCAGTTCTTCTGTTTGGGCGTCAAATCCAATTGATTCGTCTCATCCAAGAGGTCATCGAAAGAGAGCGCCTCAGAGTCTCCCTCGAGATAACTCTTTTTCATGTGATTCACAATTTTGGCTAAAACTCCGAAATTGTGTGAAGAAGTGCCCGAACTTCGGGGCAATGAAAACAAGTCCCGGTTCTGAGCCGTCGACTCTCTCTTCACTTTCTTCCTACTGATGGAAGCGTTGGACTCTTTGGCCGAAGAGAGCGACGATTTCGACTCTTTCTTCGCCCGATTCTCGACCACAGGGTTAGAGAGAGCCCTCTTCTTGAAGGCCTCTCTCTCCCGAAGTAATGACGGATCCATTGATTACAATATGATTGCACTCAACGGCAATACAAGCACTCAATTAACACGTGTTTTACAAACAATTTATGTTTTCATTGAAAACGTAAACAAAATGTAAAAACAATTTAAAAGACAAATCAAAACATTCATAAAATACGTGACAAATCACTCAACCATTGATGGCTTTTCACGTATTAAATGCAATAGTTTTCGGTTTTGGCAAAAAGTTACCATAAGTTTGAAAAACAACTCAAAACTCGCAGTAAATAATCGAAAGCTATAAAAATTGAATGTTTTCACAAGAAATTAAAATTACAAATAATTAATATAAAAATCATTACAATTTTAAGCGACGAAGAGATGAGTTTGCGATTGAATTGATACCGAAAACTGAATGTACGCTACGTTTGCTCTAAACGTGTGGTGCGTTTGCGCCGACATATAGAGTCCAATAGGGAGTGGGGTTTGAGGGGAGCGTTGAGTTGTTGGGCATTGCATTGCATTGAATGTATTGAATGTTTTGGTGCCAATACAAGTGAACACAAGTGGGAGTTAAGGCTAAGGTGTGAGTGAGTGTTGAGTCCGTGAGTCGGAGTCTATGCAACGCTTATAACACGTAATCTTTAATAAACCGACGAAAATATATTACGTAAACGCGAGACACTATTGCAGTGCTAAAGGGCTGTCTCTGCCAGTAGTGGGCAATCATATCAGTGCTGAACAGTTTGTGTTAGTAAACCATAGACTCTCTCTCTCTCTCTCTCCCTCTGCGCCTTCAAATCCATATGTCATTGCATTTGCGACAAAACATATTGTAATTGTTTTAAAACATCCAATAAATCATTAATTGGTTTTTTAAATTACTTTTCAAACCACGCGTTAATCCATACGACAGTCGACTCGCTATTAGTGTTGTATTAGTGAGTGTTTTGAGTGATATGTGGACCACAACTGTCTTAAGACCGACACATGTTTGATGTTTGAACCGATTTTCAAGTGAAGTGTTTTTCGGACATTAGTTTCTTGACGACAACTGGTGTTTGAAATACCCATTGATTTACTGATTGTTAACGCGATTTACAAAAAGCCGACAATGAATAAGACGTGGTCTGAGAGGAGTGTTTGCGATGACTTTCATTTGTCACCAAACAGTCTGTTGTCTTCGTTTGAGACCTCCATCGACGACGACCTGAGCTTCGAGTTCTCACAGATGGTGGACAACAACGACCCGTGGATTGGGAACGGAGTGATCGATAATATCAATATATTTAGCGGACAAATGTTTGACGAAGACTTTAACTCAGGTTTGTTTGCCTCACGTTTTAATTGTTTGTCACAAAACACATTGACATGAGTTTGTCATAAGTCGCCAAAATAATAGGCGTTTAGTCGATATATAAATGTCATTAAGCCTTATAATTGTCGGCAATTATAGCGATGTTTGAATCGATTGGCAAATAGTGTCACAAATGCCGGCGTTTTTCTCGTCAGTTGTGTTGAGTTTAAGGCAAATACTTTGTATCTCTCATGTCATGAGAAACCGGTCTTTCGATAGTATGTGAAGTGAATTAATGTTTTCAAAACTCATTCAACGAGACATTTAAAAAGCATTGTCTTATTTATCGCTATCTAATCATTAAAAGTAGTATTTAATTAATGGCTTGCTTTGAATGATAATTAATATAATGTTGTGAATCGATGGTCAGATTCAAGCAAATCGAGTGTATCGTTAAGTCCGGAACCGGTGTCCGTGAAATGCGAGGTCGAGATCGACAACGAGATCGAAATCAATAGCGAAGAACTCAACGACTGTAACATTGATTCGCCGGTGAGTTATACGGAGAGCACGGGAAGCAGTTCTTCGTCGCAAAACTATGACTTCTCCAAAGTAGTACTCCTGAGCGCACAGAACATCAAAAAAGAGCCCAAAGAATACAATAGTGGGTCGAGTACTAAGAGCTCACCGAAGACATCGCCAAAGAGCCGAACGCCGAGGAATATAAAGATCACGGATTTGGTTCTCACCGACGAAGAGAAGCGATTGCTGGCCAAAGAAGGTATCGTATTGTTGTAGCCGTTAGTGAATGCCTGAATGCCGGTGTTGTTGCTGTTGTGTTGTTGTGTTGAGTGAACGATAAGAGCGCTAAAGGAGTTCCGTTTGCATAAACTCTGGTGTTATTTCCTCCCCAAAGGTTACCACGACTTCCCCTCTGGAAGTCTACCCCTCACTAAACACGAGGAGAAAATACTGCGAAAAATACGGCGAAAGATCCGCAACAAGAAGTCGGCCCAATGCTCGCGGCAGAGGAAGAAGGAGTACTTGGAAGACCTCGAGAGGCGGTTCGACGAACGCAACCACGAGAACGAACAGCTCAAGAAGGAAGTGATCAAATTGAAGAAAGACAACGACACTCTCCTCATGAAAATGAAAAAGATTCTGTCGATGAACGGACAGAACGCCTCATTCAAGTCATCCTTCTTCGTCATCATTCTTAGTTTCCTATTAATTCTCGTGCCTTACTTTAGGTAAGCATTTAATGCATTCATTCAGTAATCGTATCTCATATCTCATTTCCATTCATTTCAATCATTTTTCAATTTGGTTTTATTGAGATTTTTCTTTGAAAATTTTCTTTTTGCACATATTTTTGTTGCTTAACATAAATTTTATACATATTTTGTGGCGAGAATACAAACTGTTGTATTTGTCGTTCATTTGATTCGTAATACAGGTGTGTCTGCAGTGAAAAGTGATTTTTATAACGCTTTTAATTATTCATTTCCTTGTGTTTTACACCATTTACAGCGAGATTTTAATTATGAAAAAGTCCTTTGATTTATTGAAAGTTAGTTTTTGAGAGAACAGATTCACTGCTTGTTTCACGCTTTGGGAAACACTTTCACGCTTTAAACATGTTTTTTTTGTTGCAAAATATGTATGAATTAATGGATTTATTGGTGATAATAACTGACAAAACAAACGATTGCATTAATATAGACCCGAAATGGAAGAGTTTGGTCTGAATGAGAAGGATGTCGTGGGAACGGGTCGTCATCTTCTGGCCACTCTATATTCAGGTGATGTGAATCAACAAAACGAATTGGATTCAAATGAAACCATTTTTAACATAACGTCTAATACTTTAAATAATTTATTATAAATTTTATTATATAAATGATATTAAAAAAGAAAAATATAATAATTCTTAGTTTATTTAAAATGAGGGCAAAACTGCATTCTTATTATCAAATCTATATCTATATATAATTGCATAAAACGTTTGATTGTATTTATGTTACAATGGATAAGAGAATTATAACTATTATAATGATAATTATTACTTTATACAATATATTATATTTAATTATAGTTAACACTAAAGACTATATCAAAATCTATATTAAATCTGAATTTTGAGCATTTGTTTTCATTTGTATCTCTTTTGCTGGTACTTTGCCTTTGCTGGTCATCCCCTACCTATCATTCCTGTCTCTTCTCACGTAATCCTAAGTGTTATCTAATGAATGATTCCATTGTTTCTGATTTAGTATTACCTGAATATTCAATATTTTCATACTTTTAACTTAAATTCTTTTTATTATTGTATAAAATCTATATATTATTTGTTAAATTATTTATAACACAAAATTGAAAGTATATTTAAGGGTTAGGTTTTTATTTATTTAAATGTGATTTATTGTCATTTATATTTTTCAAATTTTATCCATAGGTTTCTAACAATATATAAAAATGTATGAATTTTTTCAATGACCTTATTTTCAAATAAATTATTGGTTGCAATCATCAAATGTGTTGCTATTCTTATGTTATGTTTAATTAATTAACTGATGTTTTATTGTCTGATTTATTTGAATGTCTATTGGTTTCTGGAAATGTTTATTCAGATTAATTAATAACACTTTTATTTTTTACAAGGAATTAATATTTCATTAGAATTATTACAATCTATTTTTCCTATCCTTTTTGCACTACAATTGCAAAGTTTGTTGAATTGAGTTTTGAATCAAATGATAACAACAAAATTGTTGATAACTTAAAGGCTATCGATATTAGAGTATCGCTGACAGCGCTGTTACACTTGATTCCTGGTATCTCTTGTGTGCAAATGAATTGAGATCACTATAACTACAACACTATAACTGAGTTATTGGAACAGTTGTTGTGATAAAAAAGAAGAACTTTTTCTAATGAATTTTCAAAAAATTATATTAAATGTATGTAAGAATGCGACACCTCTTTAGGTGAAGTGCTTTTTCTCTGCTATCAATTATTATACACACGTAGAGTCAGTCTCACCACACGATTCCCATTACATACAGTATTAGCAGATATTTATTAATATTAATGAATTGAATTCCATATTCTCTATAACCGGCCATACATTTCAAGTTTTCTCAACACACATATCGATGTAAAATAAAACTCATTTCATTTGCAAATCATTGAGTTTTGAATGGAGTTAAAGAAATGCGAAGCAAATTATATTTAATTAATTACAACTATTTTTAGTAAAAGTAGTTTTTAAGATAAAGGTTGACATTTGAGACTCAGGTTTTTTTGTATTCTTGTTATCTTTCATTTGCAATACAATATTAATATTGCGATACATTGTTAGGTCTCATTGTAATCAGTTTGAGGCCATTAAATGCTCCAATCGTTTGTACAATAAAGTAAAATATAAAAAACTCTATTCATAGAGTTATTTGGACTTTATTTAGTTTAGTGAATGACAATTGACGCTAAGCCCCACATCTCTCAACTGACCTCATATACAGAATTGAGAGAAAAAACAAAACACACAAAAAAGTCGATATAATGTATGATATATTTCTTATTATGAGTTATACAGTATATGTTTCAATAGGTATAACACAACGAATGCATTCATTGCATGACTTATGAGAAACAATAACTTTATTTGATATGATATGCGATCTGTAGGCAAATCCAGTTGTTCTTCACAATTGGCACTTGTTTTGCAAAAAATACGATTAGACAAAAAAGATGGTCTGATCTCTACATTCGTGCTGTACTTTACAAACACAGTGTGTGTTTGCATACAGAATATGAGATCTGTTAATATCAATTAAACGTATATTTTATTTGAAAATGAAAAAAGCAAAATTCTGCAAACTTTCAGAGAGAATGATGTGATATAAAAGCGAAAGTTACGTAAGAGGAAAGTCCATAGTATTTATAGCAAACGGTTATCGCATAAAAGCAGAAAATGTTTTTTCTGTTGATTATTGTTATCCTATTGTGGAAAAGGCTGACAAATGCAACATTTAATGATTGGAAACTTACTGTTCCTTTCATTAAATAAGTGCCGTTTCGTTAAATAATTTTATCTTATATTTTATTAGTTTCATAATTATTTTTCATAAGTTTTTTTTCCATATTTTTAGTTACATTTTCATAATTAATCAATGGTTTATGGAAATGGAGTTATATTTTCTGCAAACGAAATGTCTGTTAAATTGCAATTTCGCATTCAATGGTCTATAAATCCGCACTAATTCTCATTTCCAGGTTTTTCTGCACCAAAATTCTCGCACATAAACTAAAATAAAGGCTTTAAAGGATTAACAAAAATAAACATTAAAACTGTTTGTATTTAAGGTTCAAATAGAGTGCAAATCCAGACAAATATATTCATTCAATTTATGATACAATTTGTTAAAATACAATCATATCATGCATGAAAATGAAGCCCAATTACCGGCAAAAAAAATTAACTCAAAATTCTTGAGTCATTTCGGAGTGCATTCGGAAACGACTTCTCCATAAAAAGTCTAAAAGAGAAACACGTTTTTCTCGACAAACATTACGACCAAAAGTATTGCTCACATAATAATGTTAAAAGTCTAGAAAAATACATTTATCTGATCTCTTGGGTAACTTTTTTATAGACTTATTCTGCATATTATTTGCACTGCGAGAGAGAGAGAGAGAGAGAGAGAGAGGAGTGAGAGAGTGAGGGGTACAGAGGGTTAGCAGAGTTGAGAGGAGAGAGTTTCGCATTGGAAACACTACTTTGACTCTGATTTTCATTAACATTTGAAGGTTTAGTTNAGAGAGAGAGAGAGAGAATGCACTGTAGGGTAAAGTTAGGTGCAGTGAAGTCCCCACCGAAAAAAAAACCTGTTTAGTAGTGATATGTTGGATGCCTTTGCGAAGTGAGTAGACGTTCATAAGATTTGTGAACATTTTTTAACAGGTATTTCAAAATTTTGTGAACTAAACCTTCAAATGTTAATGAAAATCAGAGTCAAAGTAGTCTTTCCAATGCGAAACTCTCTCCTCTCAACTCTGCTAACCCTCTGTACCCCTCACTCTCTCACTCCTCACTCATTGCATACATAAAGCCTTTGTCTACTGATAATCAANCTCCTCACTCATTGCATACATAAAGCCTTTGTCTACTGATAATCAAAACACTTTAAAAATAAATTCAAATTTAATTTGGCATAAGTTTATTGAACCAAAATTGTTTGATCGCTATATAAGCCCTTGAATGACATTTAAAGCGCTCTCTAAATAACCCCTAAATAGTGGGCCTTTGAATCGCTATTAAACCAATAAAATGGACAAAATATTGGCATTAATTTCAATGTCAACCCAAATAATAAATATAATTTTGTAAAAAATACTTATTTTACGCCAAAAAAGGCATTGAATGGCAAACAAACAAAAATAAAATAAAAGTTAATAAAATAAGTGATACAATAAAATCTGTGGCATAAAAAGTCACAAACCAATAGTGAATTCAATTGAAATACACGTTTTTCTACCACTCTTTCCACAGATATTTATCGCAAATATCTTTTCATTAATTTCTCGATTAAGTTCATGGACTCAAAGCCCATACAAATTCATTACAAATATTACACTTATTTAGTGTTATTTAGCATTAATTGTAGTGTTTTTTGTTAGTCTTATAATTGTTTTTCTCTACTTTTTTTTATTGTAGTCATAGAAACACTTAATTATTAGCATTTAATTGAGACAAACATTTGGTTACTTTTGTTCGTAAAATAGTTTTATATACGTAATTAAGTGAGTATTTATGGCCATAAAATTATCTGTAAGTGAGATATATATGTTGTTAACTAAATTACTAACCCTTTTTACGATTATTTAATTCAATTTATATACAAAACATATGCATTGGAAATATGGGTTACAATCAGTAAATGAGTGAATAATTGATGAGTTAATCGTCTAATTGGTTGACAAGTAGTTCCAGTTGTTGGAGGAAAGCATTGAATTGATTTAAACTCATTTCAAGGGCTATATTACGGCCGGAATGGCAGCGAAGAGACAATTGGATGAATGTATTGCTGTGGAGGTTGTGTTGCATCGACTGAACCGAAACACCGAACCGCCAGTCAATGGACTTCACCTCCGATGGCATCACTTCTTCTCTCGCCATGTCTTCCAGTCCTCCACAAGAGTTGTGTCTAATTATAATGAGTTCAACGAAACAAATGTTTATTTGAATAAAGAGTGCAATCGAGTGATGAAAAGATGTCCACAAAGTTTTCCACTTTTTTCTCCACTAAAAGATGTTTACTTTGGCGACGAAAACGCCTTTAAATGCCATTTTCAGTGCATTTCTCAATGCGTTCACGCATTCAATGCACTCAATGTCTACATCTGTTGCAGACACAATGAAAACAAGCATTTTATCAAAATATATGCATTAATTCACTCATAAATACCGGTATTTTAATAGACATTCACTCTATATATACAACAATTGATTTAATGATTGGGAAAAATGCTAATAAATTAATAATTAATTTCTATACAAAACATATGCATTGGAAATATGGGTTACAATCAGTAAATGAGTGAATAATTGATGAGTTAATCGTCTAATTGGTTGACAAGTAGTTCCAGTTGTTGGAGGAAAGCATTGAATTGGTTTAAACTCATTTCAAGGGCTATATTACGGCCGGAATGGCAGCGAAGAGACAATTGGATGAATGTATTGCTGTGGAGGTTGTGTTGCATCGACTGAACCGAAACCCCGAACCGCCAGTCAATGGACTTCACCTCCGATGGCATCACTTCTTCTCTCGCCATGTCTTCCAGTCCTCCGCAAGAGTTGTGTCTAATTATAATGAGTTCAACGAAACAAATGTTTATTTGAATAAAGAGTGCAATCGAGTGATGAAAAGATGTCCACAAAGTTTCCACTTTTTTCTCCACTAAAAGATGTTTACTTTGGCGACGAAAACGCCTTTAAATGCCATTTTCAGTGCATTTCTCAATGCGTTCACGCATTCAATGCACTCAATGTCTACATCTGTTGCAGACATTAGAGCCCAATATAAACCCCACGTTATATGCCATACAAACCGAGCCATCGATTCATTAGAAAAATTGTTATCCAATATATTATAACTTTTTTTTCATGTTATAATTTTGAATATAAATATTGGTTTTTCTAGTGTTCCCACCTCTCCTCCTCTCCTGTCCTCTACTCAATGTGTCTAATAATGTATTGAAAACAATCGGTGGACGAGAGATGTTGTGCCGAAGTATTGGCAAAACAACTCTGAAAACTGCTGTCAAATAAGCGTTCAGATCAATGACCCACTCATTGGTCTCACTTAAGGCATTATTTGAGTGCAAATATTGCCAATAAATAAAGCGATATATATTTGAAACAAAATAGACATAAATTCCTAAACACTTGTGTCTGTAGGCCT